AAAAAAAAAAGCCAAAAGAACCATCTACTGACAAGAAAATAAATAATATTTACCAATGAGAAAAAGTTAAGCATAAATGGGAAAATCTTAATTTGACTTACCAATATTGACACGATAATCAATGGTTAGATAAAGAAAAGTATTGAAATTGAGCCAGGGAGTATATTTCTCTGATTGGTGAATTAACTGAAAATGAATATTGAGAACTCCATGCTTGATACCAATTTATTAAAAGAAAAGTGCAAGTGTGTGGTTATTGGAATAATCCTTCAAGTAGATGGGGATTAAAGAAAGAGTTGGAGAATATTGACAAAATAAATTAATTAGCATGAATTATTTGACTTTAATGTAAAATAATAAGTATTATGACTAATTGAAAAGATATCCACCAAGAATTCTCTACCGAACTACAAAAACATTGAGAAGATAATGATTTTAATTATGAAGAAGTAAAAGAGTGAATAAACATTGGTTTACAAGTAAATGAGGCAGACTTTGCTAACCACTTGCAAGAACAAGGATACACTCCTGAGTTATGTTTAGAACATGCAAATATTGAAGACTTAAGAAAAGAATACAATAATAACAATTTTTTTGAAGAAACAGCTAGTGATATAGAGGAAGATAACAACACTGCTTCTGAATGGAATGATATTCATCCACACTTTAATTATCAACTACAAATGAACTGAGAAAGGTCAGGTTTCGACCCTAATGAAACCAAAGAGTGGATGAAAGTTGGTTTAGAGCCTAAGGATACCGAATTTGCCAGTTGAATGAAAAAGCGGGGCTATATTCCCCAATGAGTTTCTAATTATGGCAATTTAGGAAGGCTAAGAGAAGAATTTAATATCATTTTACAAGGATGATTAGACGAAAATTATCCCAAAAATCAAAGAAAAGAAATAACAAAATTGAATATTAGTAGCAAAAATCTCCAAGGAATTTTAGATCTTTCTGATTTTGTGAATTTAGAAGAATTAAATTGTTCTGGCAATAAATTAACCTTTTTAAAATTAGATAATTGTTTGAAATTAAGAAGGATTTATTGTGGCAAAAACAATTTTCCAGAACAAGATTTGTCAATGTTTAGTCATTTGGTTAATTTAGAAAAATTATGGATGGATAATAATCGTTTCATTGGTTCTTTAGAAACTCTGAAAAAAAAAACCTAACTAGATTAAATTGACTAAATGTTAGCAATACTGACATCGATGGCGGCTTGGAATATTTGTCCGAAAGTGTTGCATATTTTTTATTGTTCGGTAGACAAAAGAAAAGATGCTAAATGTCAAGTTGTTCATAATTTATTTGTTAATAGCCAAGGAATAGTAGAGGCAGAGTGAAACAATGGACCAATAAAAGACTTTCCCCAAAAAAAATTCAAGAAGTTAAACAGTGAATAAAACTTGGTTTCGCTGAAAAAGAAATCAGCTCCTGAATAAACGCTAGTTTTAAGTTAAGTGATTATAATTATCCTCGAAAATGAGAGAGTCAAAAATTTACTCCTCAAGCAACTAAGCCATGAATAAATGCCGGTTTCCAACCAAAAGATTACAACTATCCCCAAGAGTGAAGAAACCTTAATTTTACTGATCAGCAAGCCCAGGAATGAGTAAAAGCCGGAACTAAAGCAGATGACTATGAATTTGTTGCCTGATTAAGAGACATTAAAAAAGAAACCCCCCAATGAATTACCAATTATAAAGAAGATTACCAAATCCTCAGTGAAAGTTTTAAAAAATATGGTCTATGCCTCGAGTGTAATCAGCCTAACACCGGAGAGCAATGATGTAAAGATTGTAACTCAAAACATCTACAACAAAATTTTTCTAATTGAACTAGTAATAGCTCCCAAATAGATAAGTTTATCCAAAAATACCAATTAGCAGCTACCGAGGCTAATAAGTTTATCGAGTGGATACCTTACAAGCAATTTACAAATATTGAATATTTAGCCGAAGGAGGTTTTGGTAAAGTTTATAAAGCCCAATGAACCAAGGGAAACATTCACCATTGAGATGCTGAAAATAAACAATGGCACAGAGAAAAAGACTATTATTATGATGAAAAAGACAAAAAACAATGAGATTTTGAAAGAAACCAAGATAAATATAAAAAATATAAAAATCACCGAGAAGTAGTCTTAAAAAGTCTAAATAATTCCCAAAATACTACTGATTTTCTTGACGAAACAGCTAAACACAAAGACATTGACGATTGATTTAATAATATTGTGCCTTGTTATGGCTTATCTCAGGACCCTGCAACTGGTAATTATTTAATGGTTATGCAATATATTGAAGGAGGAGATTTAAGAAAATATCTAAAAAGTAAAAAAACTAACTTTCCAAGATAAATTGCTTCGATTAACTAAAATTATTCAAGGATTAAAAGATGTTCATGCCAAAAAAAAAACCTGGTGCATCGAGACTTTCATAGTGGCAATATTTTAAATAGCGAGATCCAAAGTTTTATTGCTGATTTAGGCTTATGCAAACCAGTTAACGAAACTGACCAAGAAAATATTTTTGGAGTTATTCCCTATGTTGCTCCAGAAGTTTTATTAAATAAACCTTATACTCAAGCATCTGATATTTATTCTTTCGGAATAATTGCTTATGAATTATTGGCTAATAATTATCCTTACTATGAGCCAGAATTTAAAGATTTAAGTGAATTCAAGCTATCCTTGCAAATATGTAAAGGTTCAAGACCTAATATGGATGCATTAAAAATCCCCCGAGTATTAAAAGATTTAATTAAAAGGTGTTGAGATACAGATCCACAAAAAACGGCCAACTGCCGTTGAATTAGAAAGAATGGCTCGAAACTGAAATGACGAAGTAGCAAAAAAAGTAAATACCCCTTTTTATCAACAGTATCAGAAAATAGTAACTGGATATGATACCTTTTCCCAAAATACTCCTTATCAAATAAAACCGGGCATCATTACCACTAGCAAGTTGATAAATACCAAAGAAATTATTAAGGAATTACAGATTTCTCAAACTAGTTCGGATTCCAAACAAGTTGATTTCCAAATTCCTACCGAAGAACTCAATCAACTCAACCTCTCTGAAAATCAATCAACTGAGCAACCCCGACAACAAGCCCAAATCCTCCAAACCAATCCACCTAAAACTTCTTAAATTTAATAACAATTTTTTTGAAGAAACAGCTAGTGATATAGAGGAAGATAACAACACTGCTTCT